TCAACAATAGCATTATTGTGTTATCTTTTCAAGAATTATATTTGTGATTCAAAATATCCTTATGATATAGGTAGTTTCCGGTTTTTCGGAAAATGTACTTTGTGGGCTAATTTTCATCCTTCAAATTTATCTTCTGTTTCTACTTTTGTCTTTTTTACTTTGACCGCTTTTTCTTTCTTCCCTGTCTTTTCTTTTTCTATTGGTTTTTATTGCCTTATTACTCCTTTATTCTCTTTTGCATTGAAGTTATTGACCTGTATTGGATTTACTTTTCATTCTGAAGGATGCTCTTTCATGAACCATTATTAGACTACTTTTCAGATCACTTGCTTTTCTTCCATCCGACTGCTTTGACTTTTTTACACTCCCAGTCTTGTTTTCTCTTTTGATACCGGCACACAATAATTATGAATAGGTGCTGTTTGCCTATGCGAGTAGCTACGAATGAGGCTTATGATGGGAAGGCGTCGCATCTTTTTGTTCCATCGTTATGTTCGCTCTAAAAAGTTCATATTCAGAGTTTCTTAATCCGATTTCTGTCTTTCTTTTGCTCCTTTGCCGGGGCTAACAATACGACTAAAGACTTGACATTCAAACTCCAGACGGGTCAATTCATTGCAATTCAGTCCGGGAAACGCTAGCGTAAGATCGATGTAAAGGTATGCCCTCGCCTCGGCTGTTTTTTTTTATCACAGAAGAGAGAGAGAGAGGAAAAAAAGGAGATAAATAATCCGCTCAGAGCCCCCAACCACCAAACGCGATTTGTAATGAATGGGACTCATGAAAAGAAGTTCCCCATTTTTGTGTGGATGGCCCCGGGGCGCGATGGGGGAGAATCAAGAGCGGGACTGAAGAGAATCACAAGCGGGCTTTCAAACAAGCCAATACCCCCGAGGGCTTGGAGTTGTGCGATAATAGCTCTTTCTATTCATAACGATCAGAGATTTCACCAACAGATTCAAAAGTGTCGAGGAATTCTGATTACCATCTTTTCAAAAGAAGGGCAAGGAATCTCGGGGTCCCAGTCGGTCCCAACAAGCGAAAGAGAGAGAGAGAGAAAAAAAAAGAAGATGGATGGGGGATGAAGTAATTACAAAAAAAGACCACGAAACGAGCGAAGCCATTAAGTGCTAAAAGTGGAGCTACTTTTCGCAGGTAATTTGGCAAAGAAACCTCTCAAAACCTTCTAAATGGTCCCACCTCTGATTTTAGAAGTAAACCACTAGCTTTTGTGGTCAGTTTGAAGACAATCCAAGTAATTATCTTGGGCATCCCTCATTCTTTTGACCTCTCCCAAGGGCCCCAGACCTTCACAGGTACGAAATACAGCAGTCACTCTTAAATGAGTGAAATTTACCCAATATCGGCTTTGAAAAAAGGAACATGCATGTTTTTTGGCGAATATATTGACTAATATTGGGTACATTTATGTACTCTTTAACCTTTCATAATTATTGTCACGGTAAAAAAAACGGGAAGCAATGTTAAGTACCCATCATTATTAACAAATTTGCTTTTTATTGTTCGAAGTAGTTTGGATCCAGATATTTCTCTTGTAATGTACGTGTGAAATCTTATTTGTAATGGAAGGTAAGGAAATTGGAATATATCTTCGAACGAGTGCCAAACTTGTTCTTACTTTATTTCTATTTTGCAACCGACACTGATCGTTCTTCCCTGAAGTATCCAGCGCATTATGGAGCTCCTTTAGACTCTTAGAGCCTCCTTTTTTTTCTCAATTACACTTTTAATTGGGCGATTAGCTTAATTACGACTCTTAAAAGGAGCTCATGAAAGCGCTTACTGCCATTTAAGTCCCCTCATTATTCTTCAAGTAGTCTTAACGGTTAACCTGAATGAGGAAATAGAAAAGCAAAACCCATCTATTCAGTTCCCTGGCACACACTGTGGATGTGGGTTGAGTGTGTGTTTTTTCCTTGTATTTTTTTTTACAAAAATCAGTTACCTTCAAACCGTTAAACGTTTTGTGAACATATAAAATCCATTTGAAATGATGCATATTTGCGTAAATATTAATAATTCATCTTATTCCTACATACATTCGCATGCTTTGTTTTTCCTTTCATATTCAGTATCATTCTTGTATTTTGTATAACAAAATAAACTATCTGAATTTAGTTCCGTAATAGATAGATAGATATAGATACAATTACAAATTAATATATTTGCAATAGTCCATACTGGTATAATGCATCAAAGTGTTAACTTATGCAAATCTTAATGCTTTCTTTGGTAGATGTTTATCCCCTGGGACATTCTACTTAAATGTGCATAGTTTTTTATAAGAAAATGTCTATGCTATTTTAGGTTTTTTATCGTACGATATGTATATGTTAACCGATTTCTCTATGCAAAGCGCAAATAAAAGTTTTTATTAGTGTTAATCAGGTCTGTAAAATGAACATTTTTTATCATGATTATTGTTTTTTAATAATTATTATAATGATAACATCTAGTCATTAAAAGGCATTTTTGATAAACATTTCAAAACGCTGTACGATAATTAAAACAATAATAGCTATAATAAAAACACTAATAACTAAATTATTTAAACAAACGGTCGATCAGTATACAAAGTATATCAAGAATATTTATAACACTCAGGATTTAAATCATTAAGCGATGGGGTTTTATCATAATTCTCGTTATTATTTTAATTTTAAACATATTACCGACGCGTTTTTTTTTATTCAAAGAGAGGGTAATTGTGCATGGACCACGTCTGGAAACTAAGACTTCTACGTCCATCCTCCTATTGTGTCTCCGATTTTAACAACTATCTGAGAAGCTCGTTAAAACGCCGTTTGTTATGCCCCTGCCACATTTCCAACTCTTTTTTTTTCTCAAGAGAAAACACTGATCCGCGGACCCCCATCAAACCCCTTTCGCTGAAATTGATGGTGGTTTGCGACATTCTTCAGATTCCATTATACCCATTATTCCCCTTTTTAATCACTGTCTACCAGTTTTGGCTCCTTCCTATTGTTTGCCCTGTTATGATGGGGATTGAGAAGTGGCCCTCTTTTTTTTATTTTTGCACTCCAGCGTGATTTGGGGGTAGATTATCCCCTCCTATTTAATGCCTTTTAACGACCCTGTTTTCAGCTCTTCCAAACACTTTTGTTATGACCCTATTGAAACGGGTGGGTTTCAACACTTACGCCCTTTTGAATAACAGAAGAGCATTTCCCAGCTTTGAAGTGAAAATATTGGACAGTATTATTCGGGGTTCATATAACCGCTACGCGATTTTATTCCAAAGTTACCTGATTAAAGTCTATCTTTTATCTACGTTTATCTTGTCCAGTAAATCTCGTAAATGTGCAAATATCTTCGTCTATGAAATGCAAAGCTGACGCAAATGGTCATCTAATAGGATTCCATTTAAGAAATCTAGAAATCTGTAAAAAGAAATAAACATATTTTTATATCAAAGTCCTTAATGTATCTTGATGGACAGATGAGAAAAGATGTGCTCGGACAGTGACAACAAATACATGAAATGGATATTTTATTTTGGACAAATGCTTACTTTTATCAAAATAGGGTTAACAGCGCTGCGTTAGTCCATCGACCCCAGTGACAAATATTATAATATAAAGACAGTATTAAAAAGCAAGATGAGTTTTAAAAGAAGAAGGAAGACATTTGAGGAAGAAAATTTGAGGAAGAAAACTTTCATGCTCTTATCAATTTAGCCCTATTCACATTGATACCCATACAACAAGGACAACAACCACACCACTAAAAAAGAACAACAACACCATCACTATAAAAATGATTAACAAAACTATGTTTTAAAGGAAGTAATTAGTCTAAAATGTAATTATGATAAGTAAGGTCTACTATGATATACTGCGACCATTACAACTATACAACAAAATCTATAACTCAATCAATGCTACTGAAATCTGATTATGTGCTAACTTCTTGAATCCACATAGAAATAAGAATGACTATGAAACAAGAACTAAAATATTTTAATTTACTTCGCTATTTCTCGCTTAAATATAGTTTATGGAACAAACAACAAACAAGGCAACGCATTAGAATGTCGAAAAAACGAGCACATTATTTTACTTTTATTATGACCTACGAAATACTTAATACACGCTTAGAGGAACAGATGTAGTCAAAACGCTAAATCCAGTGGAAATGTTATAGTGTTATTATTTGCTTAAAATTAAATATTGTCTTGTGGATAAAGAGAGGATATATTCTATAATTTTCCTTTTAATACCATCGCTTGAGGAAACTGTGCAGCTATTTAAATCACCTTCGATCCCACTCAAAAAGGGATTTGAGTTTCCCAGGGTAGTGGGTTCATTTTAAAAAGCCTTCGCCAAAAGATGGCGCACTTTGCCAAAAACTTCTGGAACTTCTTGTTCTCGCGTTTAATGGGAAAGAATGATTTCTCCATAACTACAAGTAGAAAATTTGTCTATAATTTTGAATCTTCCATCATCTATATTTGCTTTGCTCTGCTCTACTACCCTGGTACCAGGAAATTTAAAGTAATAATTTTGTCACCAAAAGGTGGCGCACTTTGCCGAAAACTTCTGGGAACTTTTTGTTCTCTTGATTTATGGGGAAAGACTGATTTCTTCATAATTACTAGTGAAAAATTGTCTATAATTTGTAATTTTCCATTATTTCTATTGTCTCTGCTATACTACTATGTTACCAGGTAAATTTAAAGTAATACTTTGGTTAGCATTGTACCAAATGTACAAAGGTAGATACATAAATGCCTAATAATATCAAGAAAAACGATGAGGAGAGTTTGGAAAGGTTGTAATTATGCAATAATCCAAGGCATTACCCATGACAATATATATTATATCGTAATACTAGATCACATGGTGATCATCGAACGAAAACATTGAATCAAAGACTCTTCAAGTAAATATTTCTATCACGATGACTATCTCATTTACTACAATAAAAGTAACATCTTTCATTCCTTTTTTCCTACACAGACCGTATATGTACTGGCACTGATGCAGGTCAAGCTCGTAACATCATGGACATCAATCTGAGAAGGGTCGAACGTAAAACATTGATGACGGTAACGGTCGTCATCACTGCAAGAAGATGTGTACACCAAGCCTTATAGAAGTATATGACGACCAAGCCATTGCAAACTGGGAAAATGAATGTGATAGTAATATAGTTACTATCTTCAATAACGTGTACCCATCTCAGTACTAGAGACTATTGTATTTGTATGTGTAATAGTATACAAATAATACACATCAGTCAGGGCATTAGTAAGAATTACCCACACAAGGTACCTCTAGAACAGTTTAACACGCCCGATGCGGTAGCCGAGGGTGTTTGGACCATTTTGAAGGTACCGAGTGTGGTTAATTTTACTAATTCCCGAACAAAATGATGTGTATTATTTGTTTTATAAGATTATGTTTTATTTATTCCATAAAATGATGTTTAATAAAATGATTTGGATAATGACCGGTCATTATCCAAATTACGCGTTAGGCAAAATAAATGTCTGGTCACGTGTACGCTTTTAACCAATCATTTGATAAGGATCCACGTCATTATCTTATAATAATTGCTAAATTAATCCCGTAGGTACATACGCATTGTATTTTTCGTTTTTGTTTATAAATAAGGCAATAACGGACTTCTCAATCAAAGCTGTCACAGAAAGATTTTTCGAGGATGACCATTGATATAAATGAATTTGTTTAAGGTTAATTTATCTGAAATTATCTTTAAAAGCAGAGTAGAATAAAATGTTATGATATTACTTAAAAACACATCAACATATTTACGTAGAAGTTCCGTAAGTAAAAGTAGTTTTGTTGACCATTACGTATACACATATATTGAGAGATAGGCCTGTAATAAGTAGATTATATATCGAATTTCATTGTCAATGTCTCCTTTAACGGTCGAATATACTGATGCACACACTGACCTCACAATAATAATAAACAAAAAATATCAAGTTTATTTTATATATATATAATATATTGCTTTGGAGTATTACCACCTGCTCCTGTAGAGGCCCTACACCTTTCAACAACCAATCTGTGTAATTAAATGCAGTCGTAAGTCAATGGCATCCATCAGCGCAAATAAAAATGGATGAATAATATTCATATTACAGAATAAACACCATTAAGATGCGAAATATTACGATATATTATATTGGAAAATAAACATTGTTTGTAAAGAACAATATCCCATTTAAGGTCTTTTAGTATTACGTGTCATGGATTTTGGATGATTCAGCCTACATGTATGTAAATGCTTCGTGTAGTTGTGATATGGAACAATATTTGATTGATTGCCAAACGGGTATGATGAATTCAGCTTTTGTTGAGGTTTGAATGTAAGACATGAAGTTAATGCAGATCATCAGAATATTATCGATGCGTTACCTTATTAATGATGAAAAGGTTAATCATATTTTCTGACAATGACTTATGAGCTCCAAGGTATATACATTATAAATAAAAATGTACAATGGGAAAATCTATCCAGCATCGGGATGATTATGTCCCGGGATTATGTGTTCGACCAATTCGACAATCTTACGAACTCTGCTTATATCATGTTGCCTATTTTGAGGTTTTGTACAGCCCAAAATAATAATGAGAGGGAAAAATAAACGCCATATTGACAAGAATAAAACTGTCTCTTAAATCCGTTGAAATAAGGATCGTGATTGTAGTGGTATTATTTCTCATGACATGTAGGATAATGACAACAATTGCAGTTGCATGGTGATGATAGGAGTGGGAGAGAGTAGAGTTTGGTAAAGTGATAGAAAGTAGACATTGTGGACAGAGGGAGGATAAGCAGATGAGAAAGAATGAGAATGAGGTAAGCAGAGAGAGAGAGAGAGAGAGATGATGATGATGAAGTATAAAGGGTTGTGCTGGTGAAAATGGTGATAGAAATGACAATGGTGATGGTGATAGTGATAATGATGATGATGATGATGGTCATAATGAGGATGGGTTGGGGTGATAATGATGTTGATGATGATGGTGGTGATGATGGTAAACGATGATGATAATGATAACGATGATCAAAATGATGATGATAGTGATGGTGTTAATGATGATAAATGATGATGATGATGATGATGATGATGGTGATGATGATGGTGATAAATGATGATAATGCTGATGATGACGATGCTTCGGTAGGTGTTGATGTTGGTGAGCGTGGTGAATAATGATTGTAGTACTAATTATAAAGGTGATATGGTGATGGTAACAATTATGATGGTAGCGATGTTGATAATTTTGATGATCATGATGATAGTGATAATCATGGTCATGGGTTTGACAAATAAAAAACGATTGATGATTCGACACGTCCACGACTATATGAGAGTGATGATTGTGGTAGTGGTGATGATGACGACGATGATGATGATGATGATGATGATGATAATGATGGTGGTGGTGGAGGTGGTGATGGTGATGATGATGATGATGATGACGATGATGATGATGGTGGTGGTGATGATAATAATGATGATAATGATGATGGTGGTGACGATGATGATAATAATGATGATAATGATGGTGATTATACATAAAACGTTGGTTGGTATGAATTCAAGATAATGAGAACATGGGGCTCAAAAAGAATAAAAGAAATGTTCACATTAAATCCCTAAATACGAAAATGTAATATGTTTCAATAAGACGGTAGTCATTTTAAGAACTGAACATAGTCATCTAGGAATCATGTCAGAAACAATTTTAACCCATCACCTAGAAAACCCATCCATCTCACTTTAGAAATCTCCCAGACGTTTATAATTCGATATCAAAACTAAACGGCGTTAAATTGCTTTCATGATACACCATCCAGCATTTTACATCACGACCGGTCCCAATTAAACCTCGCCTTTTGAAATGCCAAAATCCTAAGCGAGAATTAGCGGGATTGTGTGTTTTCCGGGCTTTTGTAATCGCACCCACGGACAGTGGCGTACCTATGGGGGGGGCAGGGGGGGCAGAGTGCCCCCCTGACGGGCTCCAGGGGAAAAAAAAGAAAAAGGGGAAAGAAAAGAAAAGAAAGGAAAGGAAAGAAAAAGAAAAAAGGAAAAGGGAAGAAAAAAAAAGGAAAGAAAAAAGGAAGAAGAAGAGAAAAGGAAGAAAAAGGGAAAAGAAAAGGAAAGGAATAAAAATGGGGAAATTAAAAAAAAAAAAGACCATGGCCGTACGCACCAGGGGGGGGGGGGGCAGTTGACCCCAGATATTTTGAAAACGTACAGTTTTTTTCCTGAAAATGTAGTGTAGGCCTTTACCAAATCCTTCAATTCTACTTTTGAAAATGCAAAAGACCCTCATGACCAGTTCCGCCCTGAAAAATTAAAACAAATGAAAATAGGAAAATATAAGTGATATAACAAATTCGAAACTCTTCGCTGGTGCGAACTGCGTGCTAGCCTATTTTGTGTTAAATGTTTTCACTTGCTCGTCCCCCTGAAAAAAGAAAAGGATTAGTATTGCCTAGAATACAATTGTGCCTGCCCCGACGGGCCCCGACCTGCAACCATGGCAACAATAACACACAATATATGTACCAAATGTTACTAAAAGAGACTAATTCATTTTTCTCGCTCGCGAATAAAATGAATAGACATTGCTTTGGAAACAATTGTGCCCACCCTTGACCTGCACCAATATCATTAAAAATGGAAGAGTTTTTTCGCTCTCTCGCCAAAAGGAATTGAATCGCGTTAAACGCGATTGCGTCCATCCTGACCTGCACCAATAAAAACAAGTTTATTTATTAATTTTTATTAAAAGATAATTTTTTTTTGCTTGCTCGCTATGCTCGCTCGCCAAAATGGAATTGACACCGCTAACGTGCCCGCCCCAACCTCCAACAACCAGTTTAAAATTATGTACCAAATGTTATTCAAAGAAGTTTTGGTGTGCTCGTGCTCGCCAAAACGGAATTAACATCACCTTAGACATGATTGTGTAAGCCCTGCGCTGCAACAAAAAAATCTGAAATTTATGAACCAATTATCATTACAAAAATTTTGCTCGCTCGCTACGCTCGCTCACCAAAATAGAAATAACACCACTTTTAATAATCACGTCCCTGACATGGAACAATGAACCCAAGTTTATATACCATATTTTCCCTATAAAAGAGAAGTGATTTTTTTTGCTCGCTCGCTACGCTCGCTCGCCAAAATAGAAATAACACCGCTTTTAATAATCACGTCCCTGACATGGAACAATGAACCCAAGTTTATATACCATATTTTCCCTATAAAAGAGAAGTGATTTTTTTTTGCTCGCTCGCTACGCTCGCTCGCCAAAATAGAAATAACACCGCTTTTAATAATCACGTCCCTGACATGGAACAATGAACCCAAGTTTTATGTACCATATTTTCCCTATAAAAGAGAAGTGATTTTTTTTTCGCTCGCTACGCTCGCTTGCTCGTGGAATTATGTGCCCACCACTAACCTGCTACAATATCATTAAAAGAGAAATGTAGGGGGTTGCCTGCCCGCCAAAAATGGGATTGACATTGCCTTAAACACGATTGTGCCCGCCCCTACCTGCAACAATGAAACAAATTTTATATAGCAATTCATTGAGAGAAAGATGTATTTTCGCTCGCTAGCTAAAATGGGTATAAAATCACCCTAAACACAATATTGTTCCCGCGCCCTGCATGGGACAATTGAACCAAGTTTAAGTGGCAATTCTTAAAAAAGAAGTGATTTTTTTCTTGCTCGCTACACTCGTTTGCAAAAAAAATAAATTAACGTCGCTAACAAGTGAATGTTCCCACCCCCAACTTGAAACAATACCAGTTTATATACCAAACGTTACTTAAAGATTTTTTTTTGCTCGCTCGCTCGCCAGAAGTGAAAATTAGCATCGCCTTTTTTGTTTGTTTCGGTCGCTTGCCCCCCCTGACGGAGTACCCCAGGTACGCCACTGCCCACGGATGCAAACGAGTCAGACAAACGAAAAGACCCCGTACGACTTCTCAAATTTTCCCCTTATTTTCTTCCAAATCAAGAAATCGTGGCCAAGTAAGTTCGCGTGGCCGAACCGTGTCTCGTTCTTTGTTATCGAGATTCAAAATGAACCTTTTTTCGCCTGCAATGATCTTCCTAAATTACTTAGTATGGATTTCACCAATAAAACGCTGATTTTTGTAATGCGGGGGATATCATTTTACATACTTTAATAGCTCGCCTCGCAACAACCAATATCCTCTCTCTCATTACGTCTATGCTCCTACCTGGGATAATATTCACCACCTATGTTACAATAATTTGGCTTTTTTTTCTTCCCGGATAGCAGTGATTTCTTGAAAGTTTCCAAGCCTGATTGATCGCAATGTTTGACTGGAAACTTCTTATTGA